CTATATCTATACGCCTTATATATATTTATATATATAAGATATATATATATATAAGAAATACATCTGCATAAGACTGCAGAGGTTTAAGAAATAGTTGATAAACGTTTAGGTTTCTTTCAAAATTCACAGAGATTATCTAAAATAATTTTTCAATGAGGTAAATATACTACGAACTGAATCTCCTGTGTTTACGTGAGTATTTATTCATTGCGAATGAAAAGGGTTGATCTATGACGAATTAGAAAATATTAATTTATGAAAAATGGTTGGTTTCATTTAACACCTATTTTTCAACAATTCCTCTTTTTCTTTCGCTACGTGAGATAAAGGATATGGAATAAACATATTAAATATAAGGCCTACCCTACATGTTGAGATCCTAAGTCTTTATACTCACTTATAAATTTCTTAAATTTGTCAACTTACAAACTTGTAAGAATTGTTTTATATTTCCTGGCATTATAGAAAAAAAGAACGTGAACGTTTATTGTTTGTATCTCGAGATCAATAAACGTCTCGACTATTTAAAATGGAAACAAGTACGAAACCATATTATTACTAAGGTAAATTGGTTTGGAGACACGTGTAACGTTTTGTCGAAGGATTTGCGATAGCCAGAGCGAGATACGTATCTAAACCGGTTTTTTAATATTTCGAATAATTTTTCATCGTGTTAAAATTATCGCTCTGAGAAAGTCTTTTAGTGGCCGTTTCAATAACGTGATACTATACATTTTTCTACACTTCTGTAATAAATGTCGTTTTGATATTGTCATAAATATGATAAGCTAGATGGTAATGAGGTTTGTTCACAATGAATTTTATTTTTACATTTTCGTTATGATACACATGTTTATTCTTTTACTTAGTTTTTATTCCTTTAATTTTCACACTACTACAATTTTATTATTCTCAAGGAATTTTTTCAAATACTGTTATACAGAAGAGAGGGCCATACTTTATCTATTCAAAATGAATATCGAGAATTTACTTTTATAATCGACAAAATATATTATATTCATTTATTTGCCGTTGCATACTTATTTTTAAAATATCTCGAGAACCTCGCTACAAAATAATAATATTACTTTTCATCTACTTCATTATTATTGGCCATGCTGTGTCCACATTCCTATGCATTTCAAGTCTCAATTGGCATGCATTCCGAGTTAGACGCATGCAGATGAACTTCATCATGCTTGTAGGTTACACAAGTTTGCGGTACAGTCTGTTTTTTTTTTTTTTTACTCTATCCATTATGAATGAATACCTTCGGTTCATTATAGAACGTATGGCTGGCACCTTCGTCTATTAATTTCCTACTCACTTTTTAATTCATCGATACTCAACTTCCTTTCGCATATTTTATTGTGCAAAAAGCATTAACGATTGCCCTAAGGCAGTTTGTGTTTAGAGTTCGTTTCGTACTTTCATTTATGTTACACGTCGTTTAATAAATGTGTGGCTATTAATACAGCTCCCGTAATGTGAAATTTAACTCGTAGGAAATATTATTTAAATTTATTTGGATATTCACTACCGCTCCAAAGCTTCGTGTTGATGTTTCAAAATAGTACAATGGTTCATTCCAATAGTCTCAGCTATCTCACCTAATTCTTTGAAAAATATTTTATTCTTTATATTTTTAACTACTATACGGGCTCGTTTAAATTAAACGCTTCAGGAAAAAATGGGTGAACGAACCGACTTCCTTGCAGGTACTCTCATCGCTACACTGCGGGTGTTTATGCAAATTCATGTTTTCAAAGGTACAGAAAAAGAATTGGAACGATATTATCAAGTGTCTCACCTTTTAAACGGTATAATATTTTATATACTTTTGCATTTGAGCACATTCTCGTACGTCTTCCCATATTCTCACTTGCCATAAATGCATAAACATCCGCAGCATAAGCATTCATTGTTTCCGCGCAGAAAGACGCGTGCTCGATGGAATTTTTGGTTCCTTTATGGCCAATTCACTGCACGCATAATAATGTTGACGATATCATTCCAGTATTTTCGAATTATATTTTCAAGGTCCTCGAGAAATCCTCGTAGACAGAGCAAGCAGTGCTCGACAACCGCAACGCTGTTAATTCGTCCTGCAAATACGTTTTTCGGTTAGCGAACGTTAACGACTTCGCGGAAATTGCCATGAAATTCGTGAATCATGTATATTTGCTAGACGATTGTTACGAAAGATTACGTTAAATTATATTATATCACGTGGAATTACATTATATTTACACAGTGTGTCAAATTAATTAGACGCCGGGGAAAAAGTGGCGGTAAATATGTATTTAATTGAATATATGAATCAGCAAATTTGCGTTTAGCAGGGTAATTACTTCATGAGTAATTATCCCGATTACAAGTGATTGATGTTACCGGATAATACAGTGACGCACTGCACGCCACTAAGTCTACTGTAATATTATTTAATCTAACAAGTAAAACTAGCATTGCTTTCTATTATGGATCGAGTATTCCCCTACGCAACATACCTAATGAAATTTAATTGTTGTGTGTTATTGGGGTTGAAATGACAAGGGTAAATGTCTAATCTGTTACTTTTTAAAGCAAGAGGGTAGTAATCAATTGAACATCAATCATTATATACACTGGGTGTAGAAAGTATTCGTACACCGAGCAATTTCCAAAAAACTATGTGAAATTGTAATTTATTAATATATATTCTTAATATATTCTTGAAAATCTCTAGAATAGATGCAGTATAAAAGAAAATTATTCAGAGATGATTGTTCTACTTACGGTAGTAAACATTAAGAGTAAACCGAATAAATTAAAGTTCCGAAGTGGTCTATCACTAGACTGCGTATGTGTATGCATTTTTGGCAAACGAAAATGTGGGTAAACGTACGAGGATGTGTATGAATTCAAAAATATATAAAATATTAGCAATAAAATCCATATTAGACTGTCTAGATACGAAGCACAGTTTTATTTAAATCTCAATTCTTTATCTGAATCTGTACAAATTTGAATTGCACGAAGATTCGCAGTCTAGTCATCGCCATAACCGAACCGTCAATCGTAATTCATTGATCGATCCATTAAGACCTAATACTAGTTTTGTGGTCCACGATATTTTTTTTTTCCGTGAGCAATAATATCCGTCGCAGACAAAGGAAACGGAAAATAGCAGAGTCTAATCTGTTTTTAATCGGTTTTTCCCGCTGGCATCGCTCGAATCGGTCGATGGAAACACTGCTCAAGAGTTGTGCATTGTTTATTCAAGCATTCCATTGTAAAAGCCGGCGGCGACATGAAAAACGGCTTTACGCGCTTTCCTCACTTGGTAATAGTCGATGAATGAAGAATGAGCGATGTTTCTTGGTAAACGGAATTCTGAACTGGTCGGGCAGATTCGCTTTGTACACGTAACACGTAGCAGCCTGTTTTATACCAGAGATTCGCACGATCGAGCTCGCGTGCGACGTGCAATCAAAGTCAAGGTGAAATCTGGAAATTTCCAAATGCTGTCGCTGAATCATTCTCCTGTACCAGATCTCTCGTCACTACGAACAGGCGATGAGAGGCTGAATCGAGTCGTCGAACACGAGAGTAACTTTAACATTCGGTAGATTTGGCGATATTTACTTTGTCGCTTTATCAATCTTTCTATGATGAAACACAGACTACTCAAGGTACATATTGTACTAAAGCATCAAGTATAAAATGTGATTCCTTAAGATTATGACACAGTTTAAGGGGATACACGCATTTGCTTTATAATGAAAAATTCAGAATTTTATTTCAAAATTGAAATGAAATTGAAATTTTAATCCAAATAGCGATAACTTGAGAACGTCTCATCTGTTAGAAGACGTCACTATTTGCTGAATGAACGAAGGAATTTTGTTTTCGATGAAAACTTTCCATGTATTTTGAAACTCGAAAAATCGTTAAAATATCCTTCTTCTATTTTCAGCAAGTGATCTTCTGACAGCTTTGATTTATGTACACAGGACAAAGAAAATTACGATTAATAGAAAAATTGAGAGAGAAAAGGAACAAAGCAGAGATTAAATTACAGAATTCAACTTTTTACCTGTTGCCACGTGATCTTTTAAATGTGTTCTAATCAATACAAAAAAAGAAAACGAATTCAATAACGTATCGTAACGTGACCTTAACCCTTGAAGCGAGGAAAAACTTTAACAAAACGAACGCCATCATCCACTGCAATCGGTACAGATATCGATTACTATATGTACAGAAGATAATACTATCCGTCACGTTCAATTTTTTCCACGTTTCCGGGGTTTGTGACATGTTACTTTGATTGAGTCGAAAACTGCTTCTAGTAAGAATCTCAATATTTACAAAAATATGGAGCAGATGACAAAGAAAATGTTTAAATTTACATAAAGCAAAATGAACAGAACGCAATTGGTTCAAAACATATATATTTCTATTAATTGAGTGGGGGTAAACAGTTCTTTCAAATGCTGGTGTTCATTAAATCGTAATGTTTGTTATCATACAATAAACATTTTAATTATCCATATCTCTATATATTATATATTCATATTTGTACAGCATGTATTTATATAAGGGATGAGAAATTTACATGTGACCCAAAAATGTTACTTGAAATAGTTTAATCTCAATCTAAAACAGCGAATATTTTTATATTTGGTATGCCGTGCATGCAAAGACTGTCTTCTAAATCAAATGAGCTACGATCACGGAACGAAGAATGATGGATGAGTACGCAACTAGCTGTTAATCTTTGCTATGAGATAAGAGATCTAATTTGATGCATTTGATTTAATGCTGTTGATTAACGTTTAATTGAACAGCCGAGATTTATCGAAATTCTATGCGCAAATGCATCATAGAAAATTAATCTCGACGGATGAAAAACGATACGATGCATTAATGTGTATAAGTGAGGTTCGGAAGAAATGAAATTATTCAGTAAATAATTAGATTCCTAATTTCACAATATGTAATATGTATTTTTTGAGTTATGTTACTAAAATACTTTTAACTTTTTATAAAGCCTAAAGAGACCAAAAAGTATGAGTTGAAGCGTTAATGTCTAATATTACATAAATATATGTTATGCTCTGTTAATCTCGACGAACATTAATTTGATTGAATTTATTAATTAACAGAGGGAACAGAAGAGAATAATAAAAATAAAAATAAGAGGAAATAAAAATGTATTTTTTCAAAACAAAAAACTGTTCACAAATTAAATATAAATACAATTAGAGGTTTAAAGTGTTTATTAATATTGTTTGCCACAATTTGTTTATAAATGGTAATAAAAGGACATAAAATTGAAGGCAGTAATTCTCAACAGCTACTTAACAAGTATCTAATAATGCTATTAGCAGTGCATGTCGTTATTGTTTGCGTTCATTATCATTCGAACGTAACCGATAGGCAGTCGCAATCTACCGACAATTCTTTCAATCAATTTAAAATTAAGTCACGTGTGCCGTCGTTTCTCCGTCGATAAATCAGCATTCGGAAACACTTTTGAAAAAAGAAAATTATCACCCAAAACCTATGCCAAAGAGAATGTAATTATCTAAAATTGTGTTTAAAATCACAGTAATTAGAAACAAGGTTTAATTACTGAGATAGCAGCCAGTCACTTATATTTTTTCACGACTTTAAAAATAAAGTATATTTGAATTCCCTATACCAGGTTCCTCGCGTGTGAAATTTGAATTAGCCTTCGCTAGGTATTACATGGAAGAATATTATAGTAATCGATTAGTTATAGTCGGCAGATAGGAATGTTTATCGTGGTGTATAAATAAAGATCGATGAAAGTACCGTGTAATATTGCAACCACATAAACAAGGATAGATTTCAATTAATCCATTACATAATGTTATTTATGTAAAGTTCTTTTGAAAGAAAGTTAACTTTGAAAGAAATAGTGTGGTCCAATGATAATACAACACTGTTAATGTTTAATGACGATAATATATTTGATAGTGAAAAATGTAATTACATACTCAAATTAAGATTTATATATAATATAAGATAATATAAATTTAAATATATAATTACATTTTTCACTATCAAATATATTATCGTCATTAAACATTGACAGTGTTGTATTATAATCGGACCACAAATATAAAATTATTTTAACTTGATTTTAATAAGTAATCGTAGAGAACACGAAGTATTTACTTTATACTGTTTTCGAATGCCCTTGTTACATAGATATTTAAAATAAATATTTTTGGATGACCACTAACTTACTGAATCAAAGTTAAACAGTTTCCAAGAGTAAAGCATGATGACCATTTGAGTTGTGTAATATAAAGAACCCGTATCGGCCTGTATACTTTGACATAAAAGTGTAGCTGCCTGTCGAAAAATGTAAAAATTTCAATGGACGCGCTTGGGCGCAAAAACTTCAATGTCAAGTTATCAAAGCTTGAAGTATATTCGAATTGGACAGTCGTTAAAAGTTTAAATATCTTGGGAACAGCCACTGTGCAAACAAAGAAGTTCAGTTCTTGCATCAGCTCCAAGAAAAAAAAGTTTCGTAAAGTAACAGCTCAAGAGATTCAATTCTTTACGATGTTTCTAAAGCAGGTCGCTATAAAACTGCCGAATAATTCCACGATGACGTTGCACATGTGTATTCATCAACATCCGTACTATTCTACTACTGAATTAAAATGCCACTTGAATGAGAAGTGATTTTATTTTAGTTTGCTTTAATGCTTATAGTACGTTTACTTTCTGTGCAAGTATAGTTACAAAAAAGAAATATCGTTGGAGAACTCTTAAAGGATATCAAATTGTTAGTTCGTATAAGAGGCCAGATATAGTGTTGAAATTTCAAGAAAGACGATTTTGCTAAAAACTTTGATCCTATTTAAATGGACATTCCTATAGATATTTAAAATGTCATATAAAATTTCTGATGTGCGAAACACCATCAACTATTCCAAGGACACTAAACTCTACAATAGTATGTACTATTGTATACATAGTACTACTAATCAAACAGAAATCCAATTAAATTCCTCGCTAATTACCAAGCAGTAGATGCGACGAAAAATAAAACCATATTAAAAAAAAATCTATGACGATAAATATGTTTAGGTATATACAAAAAATTATACGAATGCAATAAATGTTGTATCGATTCCAATACAGGAATTAAGATTTATTATACGTAGTTTCCCTTTGACAACGAGGAACTCGAGCCTCCATGGGTAACTGAAACGTTGAGGACTCAATTCAGTTTTAGTCATCCGGAAATGACTTAATTTACTTCCGATAATTTAATTTTCCTGTTAAAAATGGGTTTCACAGACGCCGACAATATGCTAACGTATTAATTACGTACATTCAGATACAGCTACTCCTAATAACGCGAATTAAATTGTTTCTAGGAACGCTTTGGGCCATGAATACATTAAATGAAGTGGAAAAGTTTTTCCAACTCTTTTCTCAAGACTCGCATAAAACTATGCTCTTAAAAGGATACCGTGTGTCAGTCAATTTCACGGTAATAGCATAATAGTCTCGCTCGAAGGAACTACGAGTTCACGTAAACGTGTGTGGATAACACGACTCCTTTAAGAATGCTTTGCCACGGAATAATTGCATATCAGGCTAACAGATAGTGAATCACGGTTTCTCACCGGAAATGTATCTGTCGGTACGCAACTTGTTTTACAATACCTTATATGAAGTCTCATCCACGGTACATTTCCATGGATTTATTGTGTAAACGCCTCGCATGTGTATAGTAATAGCAGAAAAATGCACATCATTTACTCTTAGATTTAAGATTTAACAAGGTCTTGTGTATAATTATGCTCATAATTTACATAGCTTTTACTGTTCAATTCGGTATATTCGGCTGAAACAACATACCGGATTCGCAGTTTTCGCACAAAAACGGTTTTAAGGATGAAAACATCCCTTGGAAACAATTTTGATTATTGATATTTTTTGCTAATGATAATTTTAGACGAGAAAGGTGCGAGAGTTAAGTGGATGAAAATGATCCTAGAGGTAAGAGAAAAGACCAAAGAGAATAGAAGGAATAAATAAAAGAATATTTACATATAAAACACGGTACAATGTTATAAGCACTCGATATGCAATAAAAGAGGAAATCACTCGATAAAAATCACAATGTTAAATCGCATTGAACGATGGCAGTACAAAAAGGCTACTATCTGTAAGTACTTACGATTGTATCTATCCTGTGCCTCGTCGTCATCCTTCACGCTCGCTGATGTGTGACGTGGTGCTTCAGTAAGTCCCTCCGGAAACACGGTAGAAACGTTCATAATACCAGTCGATTTGTGAAACTAGAAATAAAGCGAGTTCCCTATTGTAAAGTTTGAAAATTACATTAAATGTAAGCGATTAAGACTATTAACGAATAATCGAGTACTCTAGAGAAGTAAATTTTCTCCTTTCTTGATATGTGAGTGCAATGATAACAATGTGGTTATTAATAGTGAATTCTACCGATAAGAGGATTAGTGATCGTCTATAGTTATAAATTGTTAAGAAGTAAGTGTTTTTAAAGTATGGAGCATCGTCTATAGTTATATATTCAGGCAATGTTGACATATAATTGAATGATAAATTTTAATAAACACAAACTTTCATTTATATCCACCTTGGTGTGTAAGGTTGCAAAATAGTTTCTGCAAACAGATTATGGATAGATCATACCATTGAAAGCTATAATTGATACATATCGAGCCTTTGAGTACCAAGGAGCGATATATCGTTGCTCGAAGCTATAAGTGCTAGAACTCATTAAAAAATCAATTTTGCTTCACGAAAGTAACGTCAGTATCTAATACACAGATTTATTTGTGCACTTCAATTTTATGTCAAGTTTTTGTGAAAATATTTTTTTTATACAAATTTATTTTTTGTTGAACTTGTAACGTTTTATTTTTATTTCTTTAGTAATAAAGGAAGTCTAACATGTTTTTAGTATTCTGTAAAAATTTCATGAACCTTAAAATAAAATTGACCGAAATATACATTTTTGTTTACAATGATGCAGCTTTGCTTAAAACTGTCTGACGTTCCTCGGATATGTACGAAAATTTCCTTCGGTACTCAAAGGGTTAATAAAATTAAATCGTGGATACAAAATCTAGACAAAATGTACGTGAAAGTTACGTGAGGTTGTAGAAGATTAAGAATGTAACGTGAAATATTGAAACATGGGTAACTCACACTCATTATTTATCGTTGTATTAATTGTCCAACGTACACAACAAATAAAATTTTTTGACATCGAGTGGTAAGAAATGTCGCGTATCACTATCTGATTCTCCTTGTCTGGATCCTCTTTCCGGGTCGTGATTAGGGGTACTGCTAATTCAATCTATTAGAAGCTTCTCTAACAGCCATTTGCAAGTGCAAGTGATGATTTCCGATACTATAAATGGATTTATCAATCGTAACGTAATATTTAGTGCACAATGAGGTCGCGATTCGGAGGAAGGTTAAAAAAAGAATGAATAAAATCGACTCGAACCATCACCATTTTGCACTGGTCAACAGTGATAGGGAATCGATCGTTGGCGCTGCACCTCTTCCGTGTAATGAACGCATTGCAAACAAAATCATCCCCTTTTTCGTATTAGAGGAACATAGGTTCCATTTAATGAGAATTTAAGTACTGTGATCATTAACAGAGGACGATTTAATTCACTTCTTTTTCTTTATCGCCTTAATTAAGGAATTTTTATGCGAGCATCTGTTTATTTAAAAACATATTCTGGTACATGCATCTGTTTAATTCTATGACGCTTTCTTCGTATTCTTTTCCAGCTGATAGTTCTGACCATCAATTAATTCCGTAAGAAAAACAGACTCCGTCCAGATTTATTTGTCCAATCGAGAAATATTATTCATTCCTTCAAAAGTGTTACTTACGATCGTCAGGTTTTAATAGTGTTCGTAGTACTAGCGAAGGGAACAGTTTCTATTGTCGAGTCTGCGATGTTTCTGGGACAGCTCAGAATTTTCTCGAGCACCGCATGCATTTTCATTATGACCTAAATGCACTCTCGATTACGCTTTCCCGTCTTACATTCTAAAGTTACCGTGTGATAAGATCGCCGGTATTCTTATCACTGTACCACATTATCATCTCATACATGATGCACTTTCGAGAGTTTCTTTTTTAACAATAAACTATCCAGCACAAAATTAATATACTTCCTTCGTTCTATTTCTCAAGCTTAATAGCCTATTTTCTTCATCAATTCTCAACGTTCATCACTTTGCATCACGTTTCATTATTTATATATTACATTCAGAACTAAAAATTGAGCTTCACTTGGTAATAACTATGCTCGTTCACTTCACGCATGGCCACCATACGAACAATAATAGAAACAGAAAAGATTAATGGCTACCTGCGTGTATACACTTAATTTTTCTCAAGTAATATCACTTAAAATTATAATTTCGTCAAAGTATCCCAACTTTGGATGTCGCAGAATATTATTTCTCATATGTACACATTTAGAATCACATAATGTTAACGTCAAAATGAAATGGTGGATCGCACTCACAGGATTTTGCGCTAGGTGCTTGGCCGTAGGCTCAATAGTCAAAAATTCCCGCCAGAGATTCAGATGTGAAGGCTTCTTGCTTACTGAACGTCGCATCCCCTGGCCACTTACGCCACAGGCGATTCTCTTCACCCTGGTCGAGGCTTCGTCCAGTCATGAACCTTCGCCACTGCGCACTTCGTCCTGTCCACGTGCCAAAGTTTACGGCAAGAACCACGTAAACACGCGAAATTATAGGAGACAACAGTGAATGAGCTGCGGAGTGTTGTTTCCTTCCGACTACAAGATCATCACTAATCGTGAATCTAGCGTGACCGACGCAGATCCTTTGGACACGATGCCCTTGACAACAACCCTGCCGCAATTGCGTGATGCAAAGATGGTCACGAAGTATAAAATATACATGCACTTGTACCTATCTATAAATGGTCACTAAAATTAAATTAAAATGATTTCCACGATTGATTCGTTTGGCCAGTACGTTAACACTTTGCTAACTGCAGACGCTTCATGAGTTATGCGTAATAACAGGGTTTAACTTAAATTTCTGTAACTCTTGCAATATGAGTATTAATAACATTTTTTAAACGATCATCGTATCTCTGTGGAATCATTTAAGGAAGACGAGTCTTGAAATTTCATATTATCATTATTCTCTGTCTGTTATTAAAGTATTCAGTATCTCTCATCTCTTCTATAAAGTGATACGATTTGATTTGATTCGACAAGATTGGCATAAGACGGATTTTTAAAATGATGTAGCGCATTTTCGATGACTAATAGAGGAATACAATTTATAGGTAAAATGACCGAAGGAATCGATTTATGTTCACGGATGAAGTAGTCATATTATTATTATATAATGCTATTAATACTAATTATTATTATAAAAGAGAATAATAATATTAATAATATGTCTACCTTATTTTTTTACATAAATCGATTTCTTGTAAAGTATTTTCGAAATATTAGTTTATATAGATATATTACGTTTTTGACGATGGCCGATTCGATGCTTTCGACGATCACTTGTGCCTTTCAGCACTCCATGTATCAGCAAATATTTTGTTCTCAGCACCTCGACTGTATGCTTTCGAAAACAAACGATGGAATGGTGTTTTTTCCTCTCGAAAAGTCCGATTGCAGTACTCATTTAAACAGTGTTATCGTAAAACTGACCTGTACAGTATCAAATCGATGCATAGCAATTAACGCCACGTGACTTTTTATCAAACTTGTTACATTTCATCGAAATACTTTCCACGTGATCTTTTCCACTTTTCCTGACGATTCAAATTCCAGGAAACAAACATTCAATGTTATTTTTCACAATTCTCTTCAGTATTTCTTTTGACTTAATTATTAATCAACGACATGCCTATGTACTCTACATAAATTACTACATACATAAGAAATACTTTGAAAATAATAATATTACATTTTAAACACGTTTATATGAAAATGGTAATGAGCACGAGATACAGTGGAACGAAAATATATTTGTATCCTGCAAGTACCACAGATATATTAATCTCTTCAGAGACAGAGTATCTTTCTCGAAATAAATAAAAACTTACTTTGACGTATAATATCGTGGAGTATTTTAATAATAAATATTCGTTTCCCCAATTCTTGTTGTTATTCATTTACTATAACATTTACAGTGATTTATAAACTAAACGAGTATGTGTATACGTTCCAGTATGTCTGAAGAGACTAAAGTTTACATAAATTATTTCCACCACTGTGTTAACACTTTAATGGGTTGGGTTAGGTCAGTTTAAACACATAAATTCTCAGTTTACTTTAGAATTTCATACCACGTTAAACAGATGTATTAAGACTCTTGTGGCTGACTACATTTCCAGTTTTGGAAACAAGAATAAAGTTAATAATAAATAAGAAGTAATTAGAATATACTATCCATTTATGGCGAGAAAGCATGAAGTGTAAAAAATAATGTGACGTATAAAAAAATAATAACAATATGCTTGCAATGTAATTTGGTGCACGGAGATAATAGCATGTTCAACACTGACAACTAGTCGTTGCTTATTAATAATCAACGAGCATTCTCTTTAGCAGTATTACGTTTTTACCGCAACTCGAATGACAACTGTGTAAAAACATATTCACTCGAAGACTGATCCGCGATTATCTCCTATCTAACTTTTCGCTCCGTGGAATGAGTTTATAATGTCTGTCCGCAATATTGATGTTTCTATCCGCATCGCACTCTGGTCTTTTTAATGTTTCTAAACAGTCGTTATCCACTGTAAGCACACTAAACAAAGTGTTGATGCAGTGGTTCACATCTTTTTGCAATTAGTGGCACAGTTTGGAAAAAGTTGTCTAATTTCTACCCATCGTGACATAGTTCATAAAAACAAGATCTGTTACAGTTCTTAAGAATTATAATTTTTACAAATAGTTAAACCTCTAGAGAATATCTTGCGACTTCTTTATGAGTTTTTGAAAATTCTTTGAATTCCAAATTTCGTATCTATAGATACAAATCTACCATTCCATTATAATTATTGTAATCAATGAAACATTATATTATTCCCATTCGGATGATCAAATAAGCCGTTCACTGCACAAGTTGATTAACTCTATCAATCACATAAAAATTGTAACATTACCGACGATTATTTTTTGCCTATTCTTTCTTATTAATTTTATATACCATCAGATGAAAGCTACAAATGTATTTATGTAATCTACAATAAAATATTTTATTTGAATTTATATTATAAAGGGAATTTAAAAAAAAAAAAACAATGTACGTTATTTCATCGTATTTCTCAACTTTTTGTTTTTTGTGAAGGTAATGGATTTGTGCAGTGAACGGTTCAAATATGAATCATTGTGTTAGGAGATATCCCCAAGCTTCGGATTATAAGACTGTAATTCTGTAATTTAAACTAGAACTCTCTAAGTGTAGAGTCTAGACATCATCCCCCTCGGACTCATCTTCTTTAAGTAGGAGATGATTAAATAATGATGACACCAAACGTAGATGGTGTTGCAGACACACAATTGCTTCAAGGGCGATGACAGAAGACCTCGTAACTTTGTTATAAATGGTATATCACGAAATTTTCTCTGTTCCCTCAAAAATGAGCATCGTAAGTAAACAACCAAGAACATAGTACAGTCAAATCTGTTTTTTTGAGTTCTTGTTTTATACGATTTTTTTGTGTGTGATTTGTTTTGAACCATTTCTTTCTTTTTTTTTTTTAAATAATATGCGATCGATTATTAGAAACGCGTCGTTTATTGCATTGCAAACAGTGTATGGCTTGATATTAGTTACATATTTACCAACCTTCGAAGTGCATACACATTATTTAACCATTAAGATGGGATTAATTTTTAAATGAGATTAAATTTAAATTAATTATTTTTTCTATTTAGATATAGTTTTTTTATGCTTTTTATTTTATTTTTAAACGTAAGTGCTCGCTTAAAATGAATACACTTCAGTGAGACGTTTTATATTTGTAATATATTTCTTCTCGAAACAATGAATACTTATTTATGAAGTTTCTAAATATTTTTTTGTGTACGTTGCATTTATGCCTTTTTATGTCGGTTGTTTTTATCTCTATCTGCCACACAAAAACAGGTTCCAGTAGATACACCCCAAAATTAAAAAGCCTACAAAGAAATTCCCAGTAAATAAAGAATTCTTTGACGAAAAGAAATTTTCGAGCCACAAAAAATGCACAAAGTTCAGCACTTTCGCTAGTTCCAAGTGTATGCAGACCCTCACGATATCAAGGACGACGATAAGAGTTTCTCTGTAAGGTCGAACAAGTCTTCGACCACGACTTCCGGTCATCGCCTGCGAAGTCTGACGTTTACGGCTTCTTGCTGGCCGAGATCTCGGTAGTGATACGATTCGCAAGTGGGTCGTCATTGGATCGAATAAGGTATCCTCCCAGGTGAGTAGCGCGCGATGCGGTTAAAGTTTATCTAGCATCCTAACGCGTTAGTGTAAATTAACCGTCCTGGAAAAAGGCATCGCGAAAACTATTGTTCATCCGTCGTAAATCAATACTCGATCCTCTCAGACCTTCCAGCGGCCTATATCGGCGCCGTTAACTGACATTATAACGATGGCGAGCTCGCGTGCAGATAAAATCGCGACAATTAGCATACGTGAGGTCAGTCGATAGATTCAATGAGAAAGAGGTACGACGGAACGTCACACCTGCAATGTCTTGCACTCGTTGTGACGAACTGCACCAAAAATGTTCGAAAGCCTGGCAATCTATTTGCCAACGAACCGTCAACCGTCCACGTGAACTATCTTGTTGACTAACTCCATCCCTGGGACATAGAACTGGATCTTTAAAGGTACTTATCTCTTTTAATAGCGATGCTTCTTCAAGAAATTATCGCGGGCAATTAAAACGTTAAAGAAAAATGTTTCGAGAGCTTTGACCGATCATTTCCTAAACGTTCAATTTCTCTATTTGAAATTATCTTCCGAAATGTACAAATTAAATCTATGTAGATTGGTGGAATACGTTGGGATTGAATTATTATCCTAATTTGGGTAAAAGTTTCAAAAATTAAGAATTAATCCTAGCAATTGAATGCAAATTCTTTCTTTTTCAGTTGAAATTCTTTGTAGTATACAAGCTTATAATTATTCTATTATTATCTCATTGACAATAAGAGAAAATATTTAACTGTTGCAGAATATACATATAATTTATTTTTCAGAATTCAAGATGAAACCAGACATTTACTATGCGAAGGATCATGTAAAGCACATCGTAAAGATTGTAATATTCAAGAACATTCTTGTCATAAAATTGATTCGAGTAAAACGAGCAAAGACAAATAATAATAATAATACTGTAGGAGGTATCGGCATGCGTTTTGTTTATCCGTCATAAACTCTCCAAGGTACTACTCGATACATCTGCAAGATAAGGCAAACGATAGCGCTACGTTATACAAAATTCATAAGTGTGATTTATTGCATGTGCAGCGTATTGCATTCTCCCGTCGATATCTATAAATATATTACAGAAAAATCTGACTCGTTTATATTGTTCCACCAATTATATTTTCATTAATTACACGTTTCTAAATCTTATTCATTCTTTTTAATGATATTAATTCATTCTGATTACTTGATTTATTATTTATTAAGTCTTTAATTCTAGATTTTTATTCCAGTTATTTTATCTTCTTTTTCCATAGGAGTGTTGTTTCCTTTTGTTCAAAGATTTACGAATTTATATTTTTGGACAGAGGCTTGCCAAGGTTGGGTCGAAAGTTATACGAGCTAACGCATATATGCTCTAAATTGAGAACCGAAGAGGATTAGGGTGTGTTTAAGGCGAGGCGGCTGGTTTTCATTAAATCGACTCCTTAATGCTTGACACGAGCAGTTCCGATGCTCTCAGGAATCAATGCAATCATTATGATCCATCTTCGTACAATTACCAGACCTCGGAGATGGGTATAATTTTATACGAATAATAAATAACAAGTAACGCCAATGCATAGCAATTTGTTCATGTATTCACTCGAACAATTTCTTGAAGTAACTTCGTGCTATAAATCTCAATAAGTATTTCATCGCTATCTGCACTTGTCGAATTCTAATTTCAAGTTATATTGCGAAGCACCTTGAATGCCAATTATTCTTGTACCATTCCATATACGTGTCCTTATGTTGTAATTCAAAATTCAAAACTTTTTTAATAATTATTATGTCCATAAGAAAATGAATCTACAAAAGTAAATTTCCAATTACAGTAATTGCTTTAATGCTCAAGTAACTACATTTATTAAATATCTAGTTATGCATTGTGAAATATTTTATTTTATTGTTCAAATTCAAAATTTTACCGAACGTACTGGACGAAGCAACGTATTTCTTTAAAGTTTTCTTTATTAATTATTTAAAATTTCCACTTAAATACGAATTTTTGTAACGTCTGATAGAACGTACGTTTGATCAAACTTGAAATTTTTACAGAAAAACGTCCACCGCCGTCTCGTCCGCGCGTTTCAGGGCAATGTGGTTCATCGACATTGAAGAACAATTAGATTTCCGCGAAAAAGACGTCCCTACTGGGACGAAGATAATTGCTGGTAATGACCTGCGTGTACACGATGAAGACGACTGGCTGGGTGAAATGTAGAACGCAATATCACACACGCAAAGAAATACATTCTTATCAAAAGCATTCTTGTCTCGCAGAAAAACAGAGTTGACAGTGGAGTGCTCGCGAAAGGAGTGGTAATGATGATGATGATCCTGTTATACTATTTCCGAGAATGTCCATACGTGGGCTTTGGTTCACACGCACGCGCACGCATAGTGGGTAAAATATGAGAATTCTCTGTCAGTGTATCGCTATGTTTTGTATCTAACGTCTGGATGTCATCGAACTTTGCTATTTGTCGAAGAAAACTAAAGTTCTGGCCAACAAACGATCGTTTAGTTTAGTATTTATATTTTCTATTCGATAGAGTATCCATTTCAGGGAAAGAAAAGAAAAGCATCAGGAACTGTTTAAGATTTCTTTTTGTGCAGAAGTTATTTTAGAATAAGATAGTATAATAAACCCTGCACGAAAGCAGTTACTTAGAATTTCTATTAAACAGGATTTTATGCAAATTTATAACCTCATTAAATTTGAATTATTAAAAGGAATTCGTATCTGCTTCATTCCTTGATTATTACTAGTAACTTGGTTATTATAGTGACACAAATATCGCCTTTAATGCGATAAAGATTATAATTCATTTCTATTATTAATATCATTCTTAAACGTCTTAATTACCTATAAATAAGTATATGTAATTATGTATACATAAATGTATATTAACAAGGAGCATAATCGTATTATGAAACCTAGCCACAAAGGATTCAATAAATAATGACTAAATTTTATTATTGACAGTCAGGTGTTAACTCTTATACTAATTATAGCTTTACCATAAATGAGACGATATTACTGAAGGATGTGAAACACTCAATTAACATAATCATTTTCTTATAGCAAATCACTCAAGCTTTCATAACATAACGCAGCAAGTTGATCTCATTGAGGATGTTGATAAACGAATTAAATTACTCTCGTACAGAGAATCGACGGAGGCGTACACTGTAACGTTTTGAAATGCAAATTGGCAATTCGATCAATCCGTAACACAAAACGATTCATCCTGTATGATCATTTTTATATCTGCTTGTGATTAAACAGCAGACTGACTCACGAGAGAGAAATAGGTGTTCTCTAAGAATTTTTACAAGAAAAGTACAAGACCCAGTAATTATTGATTTTTATATAATGTTGTAAAGCGTATTTATCACACATCGAGATTTTTTAATGTTGAAAATATGATTACAGTTTATTTGCAGGACCTCTTGAAATATGGACCACGAAAAATCGATTTGTAAGTTGGTAGAATATAAATTTCATAAATCTTAAGCATTAGAAACCTTGTTATAAAAGGGATATTTATATATTTATGTTTGTCACATATTAATTTTAGCCAGTTCTTTTTATGTGTTAATGTAATAACCTCAATTCCAATGCATATTTACATATATCATAGATGATTGTATAATAAAACAAAGAGTTGAAACATAAATGAGTAAGTGATAGCTTATTCGAGACCGCAAAGTTATTATTCGTAATGCGAGAAATATTTGTTCTTAATGATGAAATTCCACCGTGTAGAATGTTTGACTATTAATTTCAGGTGGCTCTTAACGGTTTCTTTACTTCCTATGGACGTTATGCAAGAATACGTTCTAGCTCGGCATTGTCTGCATAGCAGAATATACGGTCTATGCACGCTTCCTTGTAAACCGTTAAATTTGCAGCCAATGATTCTGCACGTTCGATTGAACGCCAAGAGAGAATGCTGCACAAATATGGGGGTAAAGACAGCAACTTGTCAATGTAATAGGAACGCAGTGAGAAGGCAGGAAAAGATTGATGCGTACGAATCGTACGCGGAGAATTGTTAAATGAAATGCAATCGACTCGCGTTTGATTTAGTCGCGTCAATCAAGTTAATTTATTTAAGATCTCAATCACCTTTATGTGGTTCTCTTCAAAAGACACAAACTGCGATATAATTAAATAAAAATTACGTAATTATTTGATATAATTACACCTTTGACAAGCTATATTATATATTATATAGTCTAACTTATCAATACAACAAATCTGTCGTACATATTTTTCTATATCAATTTAGTTCTGTTTTTCAATATATACTCTTCTCGAAATATTAGCTTATACATTATTCATATAATAAAGCTTGGCATAGCAATAATTACGTAAAACACATTTTTACAAACAAGCTAACAAAGTAATTGATTTTTGTTTACACTAAGAAATAAAATAAAGTATTATAAATATTGTTTGTTGCTTCAAATAGTTGAGTTGTGAATTAAAGTTATATTATAAATAAATCTTTCGTTCCTAAGTATATTTACATAATCGACACGCTGATTTGTGAATTGATTTACAAATCACTTCTCATCAATATAATTGTAAAGACTCAAATCGTAGACAAGGTTGGGTCACAGTTCAATGAAACATGTCACGAACGTCAATCAACTGTACTAATAATGCATTTCACGAGATTAATTAACGAATGAGATAAGCCTTCTCTATTTTCTACCTCATATGATCTAAAATAGCTTTTATCGATCGTCAAATTTTTCCTTCGAGTTATCTCTTCATTCAACTGCCTTACTTTATTAAAAGAAAATACTTAAAAATTTCCTAATTCTTTTCAAAGCGTTTTTTTCATTCTTCTTTTTCCAAATAAAATCGTGAATCCATAATTTGTAACATTCTGCATCAAATTCTGTTCGATTTATATTTTTAAATTGAGAATGAAATTTTTATCACTCATAAATCCGAATACTTCTAGTAAAACACATTATAGCAGAAGTATATCTAGAGCACTTATGTATCAATTCTTTCGCAATTCTTGGCACTGTAAAAAGTTGCTTTCAATTTTTTTCGTTAATCCACGAAGGACGACGGTTTTGTGCTTGTAATGCTTACATAATTATAGCGGGAACAGTTTGAGTAGAAACAGTAACGCTGCATTACAGACACAATACCGTAAATACGAAACATCTGCGCTCGAGGAAATAATATAACGTGTATTTTTAATTAGCCATAGCAATATTTTACAATGAAAATTGGATATAAAAAAATTTAAAAAGTACTAATAATCAACTGATATGTAGACAGAAGAAATCGTATATAAAATTACAAATATCTTAACAAATGTTCACGATGCATGAAGCATTATTAAGTTTTTAACGGAAGGATACGTCTTCATTGTCAATAATATAAAAAAAAAAAAATTCAAAAAATTATTACAGTTGATTTTGAATTCCCTGGTTTTCTTTATCGAGAATCGAACGTACCGATTAGTCATGCTTGATGCATTCACGTGTAAACGTCTTTAATTCCACCGTGAATTATCTCTTATATATCTCGGAAATGTAACGTTACTAATTTGAGATAATGGACCAAATGTTCTCGGTATCGTTTTTGTAATTACTGTTCTTCTGGAGAATCATATAAATTTCATATAATAAAGTAAACGCTGCATAAGCACAGCTTATTTATCCATCAGTTTAAAACCACACATCTTTGAGCAATATCGGTTGCGAAGTAGTCGAATTTGACATACTCTTTACTTGTCATATCGAAACAAACCGTAAACCAACATTCGAAACGTTCATGTGAAAGCTAACTATGATCAGATTACAATCATCCATATTATTGTTTCAATATTTACCGGCAGTATTTATTATTAATAAGATAAACAGTTGCTCTTGCATTATTTTATGAATAAAAATAAAAATGTAGACACGTTATTAAAACATAACTTAAAAAGCACCTACGCAGCATAAATTTTTTTTTCTCAACAATTTGTGTCTTCAGAAGTTCGTTATTTCCAAACCTGTGTAAATTGGACTTACGTTTACAAGATGAACAGCTATTTATACATTAATCTTTGAATAAAGTCGCGCAAACAAATGGTTCACAGCAAAGAAACAAAAATTTATGCGTTCAATGGAGCCGCAGATAAATCGCAGTTGTGTCGCTTTTGTTCGCCAATCTGTTATTCGAATGAAGTGTTTTCCATTTTTAGCATTTCTATCGCAACGGGGAAAACGGGAAGCAGCGTCTCGAATGGCTGCAGAATCAAAACCGTGGTGTTACCTGGAGATCGTCGTCGGTTTTAATCGTGATATCCCTACTCTGGTACCAGCTACCCGAGTACCAGAGCAGTTAGATACCTACGTGAGACCAGCTGTTTTCTATGCTCGGCAGCCCCGACAGTTGTCTCTGAGTGACTCTTACGAAGAGTTCGTTTCTCTGAGAGCTGCTGTACTGTAAAGGTTGTGACAGAACCGGCACCTGAAAGAAATCACAGAGAAATCTTCGGAACGTTCATCTGGACGGACTACAGTCAACATCGCAGTGAGTTGCGACATTTTTCACCAGATATCAAATTTATTTTCCTATTTTGATTCGGCGCGCTTTCATCGCCGTAGATCGACGCTACTTGCTTCCGTTTAACACCGACGAAAGGCTGTACGAAAGTTCCTATTTAGGATTAAGTGTGACCGACAACACGAGCAAATTTACGAGTGTTACTTGTCGTTGATGGAATCATTAGTGACATCGAGGAAAAGACAGGTTTCTTCGAAATTTACTAAAAACGGAAAGTATACGAGTGACATAAGTCAGCGAATGACTATTCGGCTGTCAACATTAAAGCGTTAGTTGAAAATACGCATTTTACCTAGCATTGATTTTTATAAACAGCAAAATCTTTGTTTTTCTTCAGTGTTTCTAATTATTTCATTAATGAGTGTAGCAGGTATGCTACCACTAATTGAAAAACTGTCTGTCACAAACCGCGTTACATAAAGAAGGTTCATAAACATGCGATTATTCGCAATGTGTCTTTAATCTAGAGTAATTTTACGACATATTTATCAAATATAAGGTATTTTGTGAAAAATTGGGAATTAATGAGTCAACTTGTTTGCAGATCGTGGTTTAGATCATTAAAATTATTAAAAGAATTTTTCTTCATAGTTTTATTAATTTTCATTTGTGAGAAATTAATATGGCAAATCATATTTAAATTATTCATTTGCAATGTGCGTTATCTCCACCCTAATTAGCGTAACGTCACATTTCCATAATTGCTTATTTCATTACATGGTTGGTATGCATTCTATATTTTCATAATTAAGTATGATAATCCACTAGGTTTGTTTCTTAATAATAATAATATACTTCGTATTAAAAATATGCATTTTAACTAATGATTTGAAGATTCTATTTCTTTCAGTCTCTTATTAGACGGACTTTGCACATTTTGAGAATAAATTAACTAAAATTGGCAAAATTTTCACCTAGACAAAAAATTTCAAATAACAAATAAGTGGTCGAAATCATACAAAAAGTACAGTTTAAATTATACGATCAGTTTACGTTTCACGATTGACAAATTAAAGATAAAGTGAATAATTTTCCAATGAAATAAATGTTGGAATAAATAGTTACTCAGAGTTTCTATTCGTCACCTATCATTCGAAAAACTTTAATCCATTTCTGTATGCGACACGCAGTAGCCAACCTGCTAATTGCTGCAATTTATGCGAATAGATTTTGTTACTTTCGTTTTGATAAAGTAACGCAAGCGATTCGCGTTGTGTTTGAGCAGCAAATTTTCTCGCTCGAGATAATTAGAAAGGTTTGCGATTATACAACTCTGTACGGATTTTTCACACGAGTTGCACGCGTACCTACGTCGTGACTTGAAAAAATATTCGTGGATGATCAAAAGTATGCCGATGTCGCGTGAAGAATTTGCAATTGAAGCCATGCATTTTAAAATAGCGTTTCTAGAAAAAGAGTTTGATTTTTATTTACTTTCAATTCTTCATTAATATTTGTTATTCTTCCTATGGGTATTGCTTACGTGTACACCTTCGTTATGCTTATACTTCTAACATTGTCGGTTTAGCAGTGATTTTTAAAACTTCTACTATAAAAATATTTATTTTATTAGGATATTTCTTTTCGACTTATTTTAAAAATTAAATTTAACAAAATTTATTCATAGCGCGAATCATTTGATGTCGTTATTTGTATTTATAGCATCTTAAGAATGAGATTCCTTTATTGTTTCAAGTCTTATTATGGCGATGATCGAACGAAGGCAGTTTTAACCACGATTGGATTACAGGTATTATGTCCTTTTCAAAATTCTATAAGAATAAAAGTAATCTCATATTAGTCGTTTAAAACGAAGTTAATGCCACAAATAAACTAAACATATTATAATAAATAGAACCATAAAAGTAACAGGGTTTCTAATTTATTTTTGACGATGATTTGCAATGAAATTGACCAAAAAGTTAATATATCAGGTCGTCCTAAAAGCTTATGTCACTTATATTTCTGCTACTCAAATTAATATGTAAAACATATCCTTAAGTGTTAAAAAAAAGAAAGGTAATCTCTCTCATTTTACAATATTCTCCCATCTTTCTGACATAGTCACTATAAAATTTCTGTAGTTTCTTTAATTATCAAATATCAAATATTTACATATTATTATATACATTTTTATTCGTTTGTAAGCAAAGAAAGTTAAAAAAAAAAACAGAAACAATATCAACAATCACGAACATTGTAGTTACTTTGCAATAAAAACTATTGTCTCAATGTCCTCTTAAAATACCAGTAACGTAAAAAATAAACAGGAAAATAGAGGATTTCGAATTAACGAACATAGACGGCCCAGTTTACTCGTATTGTGTCAAAGATGGACTCCGGCTGTTTAGGAATTCATGGCTTCGATAGTCGCTCGGGCGATGGACGGTGATAATTAGAAGTCGTTGGCAGGTGTCGCGTGTTCTTAGAATAGTTTCATGAACGTAAAAATTGGGTTAACCAAACAACAACAGTTATTTTGCATTCCGTCTACCGAAAATTTCGAAACGTGGTCTGGTGACAAGTTCGTGGAGTGACAGTGGAACGAGCCTCTATTACCTCTAATGAAAAGTAGAACGAGTGGATTACCGGTCGGACCGGGAGTAGCGTCCGTATCAGATAAGTAGTGTAGTTCTGAGTTACAGAACGTTCCGGGGGAAAGAAAACGTCCGTAACCGCGGAGAAAATGAATCCACGGAGTGCGACAGAGAATTTAAAGCTTCGCGAGCAGAAAGCTCGAGCAACTTGAACGGCTGCTAGCGACATAATTGTGGTTATTGAAGTACAAACAGGGAGAATTGAAACGTAAATACAGAAGAGACCACTGGGAATAATAAATAAACAGTTTGAAGATCGGTTTAACAAGATAAGCATTCGTGTGTATACAAATTCAAGGATGATTACCTTTGCAGTTTCGAACTAGTATTTTACATTTCGACTCTTTC